GAACTGGCCAGCAACTGCCGGCCGTTTTTGCGTTAAAAGACGCCCTGATCAGAAATCCGAAAAAAGGACTGGGAGACCTGCAGATGGCCATGTCACTTGATATGCTGGAAGACGGAAGACTCCCATGTCTTCGCCTTCGGCGATTCCCCACCAATCGACGATCTCACCCGATGTTCCTCCAAATCTCGGTCACCAGGGCGGAGAGCTCCAGCGGATCGGTGCCTTCTCCCGGTCCTTCTGCCACCGGTCGGTGCGACATCGGCACCAAGTCTTGGAGCAGACCGTCCTGGTGAGGCGTTGCCATGCACAGCTAGGTCGCTAGGTGCAGCTGGTGGAGATTTGTGGGAGCAGAGCTAGGTGCAGCTAGGTGCAGAGCAATTCTGGATTTGTGGGAGATCAGCCACTTCATATTAAGACCAAACAAAATCGAAGGCCCTCAAAGCGCCCCGAGGATAAAAAGTTGAAGAAATAAACATGGAAGATCAACGATGTTTATGAGCCAGCTACACTCCGACTTGCTCACATAACAGTGGAAAAGCTGCGCTGTGTGTGTGTATGTGTTTCTTTCTTTGAAACATCGTCTTCCCAGGGTTCCCCTTTTCATCCTTTTTCACTCCTCAAAGCTTCCCTGGAAGGGTCATCAGTTCATCTCTACAATACAACTGGCCCGCCAGTCTAAATCAGACTCGACATTCCCAAAATGTTCCATCAAACAGCCCAGATCGATCAAGCGTTGTGCTCCCATGACACACATATAGCTCAAACTTCACGGTCCTTCAAAACATCTCCATTCAGCAACAACTGGAGCTTCCACTGTGGGACTCCCAGCGCTTCGCTCACCTCCCAGCGAAGCGAGCGCGAAGCTGCTTCGTCGCTCTCTCGCTGTTGTTATCGCCCGTCCAAAAGAGATTGAGAAATGGTGATCAGCTGGTCATCACTAAGATGGATCGACCATGAATGGAAACGAAAATCATCCTATACCCTGCTGGCAGTTTCCATGTTTGGACTACATCTTCAAAGCCTTGCGGCCTTGATAGCTAGCTGAAAACACGATATCCAAACACTTGGGCCAATCCATCCTGAAGTCTGTTCCTTCGTGAAGACCCTACAGGTCCAACGACCCACGAAAACCTGGTCCTGTACTTCAGTGAACAATGTTTCTGTATGCTTAACTTTGATAGTAAAATGAGGTCTTTGACCTGTAGTGAACATCTGGCTGTGCCGTCCCGACCATCATCCGACACGTGCTGCGAAACAGAATCGGATTCCAGACATCATGTGCTAAGGCTAAGGGTTTTATCCGCATCAGTTTTGGTCCACCACACACCTTTGGCGTCCTGGAGCGGCCTAGATTTCTACGTAGCAAGGAGCTTTCGCGATGTGCTTCCATTATATACATCTCAAAAAATGATTTGAACCCACCATTCCATGTGACCAACCGATTCACATATCTGATTGATCCACATATCTGATTTGCCACTTTAAGGACAATCCCGCAAAGCTATGAACTCTCACTTGCACAGATTTGCACAGCATGTGATTAGGAAACAAATCCAGTGGGATAAAATTCCTGACCCTTTCCGGATTGGATTCCTAATGCCTCCGCACTCAATTCGCCATTCCCAAAATGCTCTCTCTTAATCATGGCATCAAGCACCGCATGTTCATGACTTCGCCGCGCTAAAAAGGAACTATGCTGGTTGGTCATTGTGGCCGTCATTTGTTGTATGCGCTCATTCCTACGGCCCTAGGCCAAGGGATAACTTAAGGTGCGGTATGGAGTTCTGGCCGTTGGGGACGCGCACTCTGCAAAAAAGTCTGGATGTTCATAACGAATTTGTGATGGTATCCACTTGATTCACCTCTACTCAAGGAAGACCCTAGTAGGAATACCTGGACTGAACTTGCACTTGCCTTCCGGATCTCCACACGAGAACAACCCACCACAAGACCACCACATGGTAGAGGCACCATTCAAAGTGTTCAGCCAAATCACCCCCTGACAGCGATTCTTGCGCCCAATCTTCGTTCCGTTCGAATCCAGGCAAGCCTTACAAATGACCATCCGACAAACGGAGCCATATAAGCAGCAGGGAGCCAAAAGTATCTTCATGTTGGTGGGCTTTAGTGCCAAACAGAATGCGGGGATTGCCTCCCGACCAATTCTGCCGAGGGCATCCGAACTTGCCAAAGCATTGATCGACTACATCTCCGAATCTAACAGCTATCCAAAGTTTCAGAATGATCGCCCAGTTCAAATCCCGCAACAGCCACCCGTATGCCCTCGCGCTCGCGGAAAGACTTCACTAACGCAATATCTTTGACCGAAGAGTGTGCAAAATCCCGTTACAATCGCTGATACTTACCCCTGCAGGTTATATAGTTCCACCGGGTCATACTTCATTATGAGTAATGAGATGTAATGAGTATAATGTGTATTTCTCTGGGGTAATCACGCTTTACCTTGATCATACATGCAGAACATGCTACAGTTTCACTCTACACAGTGCTACATTCACTTGACCACTTGACCTTTTCCGCCTGGTCCGTTCTTGTCAGTTGTGGGGCTGGTCGTGTTTGCGGCCGTGCTTCACATGAGAAGGCTTCTTGTCAATGGGTTCAGGGCCAACGTGCTTGCGTACAAACCCCCTTCTGTACCCGATCTTAAAGGACTTGACTCTGTCCACAAGCGCAGTCACCAAACGCCCAAGGTCGATTCACATCGTTGGGGGAAGTCCATGAACTCTTGGATTTGGGGTCTTCAACAAGGAAAAACTCACCTGGCGAACGCCACAACACCATCCCAACCGAACACTGGCCGAAAAAAAAGCAGAAAATAGGCAACCCCACTAATCACGACCAATGCAGCCTTCAGCCCGACTGGGCGGCCCTGCGCACCTCGCGGCGCAGCAGCTGCAGCGGCTCGTCGAGGGTCTTCTGCAGCGTCACCTGGCGATCTGGGCTTCCGTGGACGAGAATGTGGGGACACGCGATCTGCAGAAGTTCTCCGTGGGGTGGTCTTGTCTACCTACACGTGAGTGAAGCTCGGGGAAATTCGGAAGCTCCCCATCCCTGGCACCCATCCTCCAGCTTTCGTTGTCATGAGTTTCCAAATGTCTATATTCTATATATGTGCGTGTTCCACATCAGCACCAAAAACTGAGCCCAAAAGGATTTCTTGGCAGGGGGCAAATGAATGGTGAGGTGCCCACAGCATGGATCCACAGATCTTGCTGGTTGTGGTTGTGGCGGTTTCGCTGGTCTAAAGCAAATCTGCACAGGACCAGCCAAGAAAGCAAGAATACACAGACTTCCCTCTTCGGCATTTCCGCGAAGCCGCCACGGACATCAACCATGATTACTTTTTTGGACTGGTCGCGTGAAAAGACACTTTAATAAATCTCCATAACAGTTGCATGTTCAAGAAACAGGACGCAGGTGAGACTCGGGGAATGGTGAATGATTTTCTGGAAGCAAAAGACCTACGGCAAGGCCCTGGAGGCACGCTCAAGAGACCTACAGCTTGCCTCAATCAAGGCTGCTAGAAGGTGGCACCCGCAAAAACCCAACCAATGAGGACATCAAACCCGATGCGACATGGAGCCCACGTGATGCCACGTGTCCAACTACTCTAGGAAGGCCTTCACCCTGCTCGCCCCTTCAGAGAACCTTGAAACCTTTGGCATCCTTCGGCATCCTCGCCCTTGCAGGTCACATTAACTAGATGACAGCGATCTTCCAAGAATCCATGTTCCACCAAACCTTGAAGGCTGCAGGCAAGTGACTTTGTTGGCACCCCAACTCCTCTACCAACCCATCCCAACACCCAACAGGGTGTCTCCGAACATATCTGCGTCGGCTCTGCCTGCTTCCCCGACAGCGTGGTCACGCGCAGCGTAGTGGCCGCCATGGTCGCGCGCGGAGCTTCCACCCAGCGCAGGGGGAAAACAGCGTGGCAAAGGCTGCGAGAGAGGCCAGGTGGATCATGGTTGACCCAGAAAACCACCCGGAAAACCTAAGCACATTACTACTATATATATAGTAGAAAGAAGCTACTAGGTTTATTAGGTTGCAGGCCATCGTTTTTTTAGGTTGGAGGCCATCGCTTAGTAACAAAAAGAAAGAAAACAAAGAAAGCAACTCCAACACCAAAACGCGAAAGGATGCCTGAAGAAGGTCGTCTAGGTTTGACGACCTTTGCAGCCTCTTCTATTCAATGTTCTATTCACAGCCCAAGGTGGCAGGTCTCTTCTGTTCCATATCCAAGCTGCAGGACCAGACTCATCCTCTACCCAGGTGGATCCAGGCAGTTCCCACGAACGAACGAAGCTGAGTTCCAACGGTCCGCTTGGCAACGACGACCAAACCATAGACCGAAGGGCCCCAGGACGGGCCCCTGGTTCCTTGCATGGTGATCACTGGGATCCACTATACATAAAGAAAAAAAGAAAGAACCGTATAGAAGCTTCGCTTCCTTGCATAGTGCTTAGGAATATCTAGGAGGATCTAATAGGTGTAGGGCTATGAAAGCCATTGGCAACTCATTTGCGATAACACGGAGCGTCTTGCGTACCCTCAACCCCCCCGATTTGCCTCAGCCACCTCCCAAAATGTCTTGGATCTTGGATTTGACAAAGAAAAATCACCAAGTGTGAAGAATTCAAAGGACCTCTATGATGCTACATATGCGTGTTGGTTCCCGAAAACACCATATGGGGCCATCCATCAAAACATGTCGTCTCACGACAAGGAGCCTTTTGGACAAAAGCGTCCCGCCCGAACAGCGAGCTGGCGGCGAAAGCGATGAAGAATGGCTCCCCTCGAAAAAATCTCTTCAAGACACCATGAAAACGCATGATGTGACCTGTGGACCACCTCCTTCAGGACATCCCAGAATTTTCAGGATGGAATTCCGGATTTGGGAATTCCAGTGACGTCAATCTGTGCACCACTCCTGAATCTCTCTCCCATTTTCGGCCTTCGCTTTGGGCGACCCCGACCTCGCGATACCCTCCTCCGCGGAGCTCGCCAGCGCGTCCGCGGCGAGGAGCAGCGCCCGGGGGCTCAGGCTCCCGGTGTCGAGCCGTTGGGACAGCAGCTCACTCAGCTCCTGGAGGACACGGTTCGAAGCATCGTTGGTCAGTCTCAGTCTCAAGCATCCAATCATGTCCATCGGACCGTCTTCAGATCCGACTCTACAGTCTCAGATCCGTCTCAAGAGCCTCGTAAGGACCGGACGAGGTGAGGACCCCCCGATCCTCCCCCCCAAAGAGTCCCACCTGGACGAAGGGTTTCGGTCCGGGGACCAGTCCTCCGACTCGGTCCCCCACAGCTCCGACCGTTGGACACCAATCTCCGCCAAGTTCAAAGCGGTCCCCGGTGGGAAAGTTGGGGGGATGTTGGTCCCGTTAGTGGGCTGAAGGGTGTGAAGGCGTTTGGCCGTAGTTACATGTCTAAAAGGAGGCAAAACGATGTGTTGGATGTTTGGGGTTTGGAAAGGACTTGGCCAACAGGTGTGCGAGGATCCTTGAATTGGACGAGTCCAGAGTCCAGATGATTCATGAGTATTCCAGAGTCACAAAATTCGAAAAGGATGATCTGATGAACAAACCTGATCTTATTCCGTTCACCATATCCACAAGACATCCTCATGACAAGCCTCCGTCAGCCCCACCACCCTCCACCTGTGGCTCCCGGCACGCCAAAACTCAGGCAACGCCTCCAGCCGTCTGACCAGCAGCGGGTTCCACCCGGTTGTGCGCGGGCAGGTTTCGGGGTGTTACTCAACGCGTCCCTAATGCCGCCCAACACGTAGACGCATCGAATCATCGATATATGAAAACATCGTCTGTGATGAAAGGGTTCGGCCTGTGGTCAACCCTGGTATAGATCAGACATGTTTGGTTGGTTTGTGAAATAGATTGGAACAACCCTAGGCGTGTTTTGAACCACACCCAGCACGGAGTCAAATCGCTGGCGCCTGCAGAGTTCACTCCTGACCCCTGAAACTGGGCACCGAATCTAGGCGGTCTGCCCATCCCATGATTCGCATGATTGCTGACGGTTTGCCTCACCTGGAAAGGCCCATGATCGGGCACCTTCCTCGGCAGGGTGCCATGTCTCAACTTTGAACAACATGGTCTGGATGGTTTGGACGTGTTGCCATGCTCTTTCCCCTGGTAGTGGACGATGCTACTTAATGACTTGGCAACAGTCTTCGTAACAATGTGTGCATGGGGGTGTGTGTGTGTGTGTGTGTGCGTGTGCATGGTGAATACTTGGGTCCCTCTCAACAACGGAAAACCCAAAGCTCATCTCCGCCCTAATTGATACGCACCCCAGCTGCAATGGGATATTTAGATAACTATTATAGATATTCCACATTGTATCACAACAGTGAATCCAACAGCACGAGCACTTTCTTCGGCCACTGACCACCCTCCACCCTCCTCCCGAAGGTGCCTGTCCCAAGCCTCTGGACCCAAGGTGCAACACTTCCACCAAGCGTTCAGAGCTGAGCTCCTCCCGAATCCGGTCCACGACCCCGCGGAACGCCCGCGTTCTCCCGGTCCGAGCTCGGATGCGTCGGGCTGAGCAGCTCAGCGGTCTCAGCGGCTCGGCAGATCCGGACGTGCCATGCCCCGTGTGGCGTTCGCTCCTCCAGATCTTCAGCCAGTTGCTCCAGCGCACGCTTCTGCAAAGGCTCCAGAGCTTGAACAGAGCTCGCCTCGGTCGCAAGGCCGTGGGTCGGGCCGCCGGGCCCCAGCGTGATCGGGCTGTTGCGTTTATCAGGAAAGGTTCGTGTGTGACCCATCGTGTGTGTGTTTCCCATCTGGTCTCCACCATGATGACCCACAGAGAGCAGCTTTACCCAACACCATGAAAGGTTCGGAGTGTCCGTTTTCTGACCGCAACCTGACCTTATAAGCTCTGAAGAAGGCCACGGTTAATCTTACATCTCTTACAGAAAATGGGATGCAGCGGAAGCCAAACTAGGATCCTCCTCAGAAACCCACACGAACAAGGTCGACCATGTCCACCCACCGGTCGAATCATGGTCGATGTCCTCCCGTTTCACCCGGTGGATCCAGGCGAGAGCAACGTCCCGTGGTGGTTCCAGGCTTTCCGACGAAACGACCAAACCATAGACCGAACTTCCGAAGGACGGGCCCCTGGGTTCCTTAGTACTATACACCCGGGTAGACTACCATGGATCCTGAAAACCACTGGCCGGTGAGTTGGAAAACCCTTTTCCAGGGGGTCAGACAGTGGTCTCGGTGAGTTGGACTCGAATCGTCGAGTCTTATTGGTGGCCGCCGAGAGAAAACACGGGGGGAATCAATCGTCGATCCTTTCAATCCTGCATTCGTTCGGTCGCATCTCTTCGATCCTCGGAGTGGGGAGCCCAAACAAATGCGAGCTGCTTGTTTCACGGTCGCGTTACGGTCACGTGCGGGTGTCGAAATCCATCGGTGGTGCGACTCCCCAAATCGGAAACGGAGGAACAGCTTGGCCAAAGGAGCAGATGTTGGAGTTCCTTGGATCCATTCATCTTAAGTCATGCGAGTTTCCTGAGGACCAATACCTGAAGCTAGGAACCTTTGAGCCGTGAGTCTCCCCAATACCAACCCGTTCGGGTCGATTCTTCATCAACAGATTCCAACGCATGGCAAACTGTGTGGATGGCATGAATCACGCTGTTCTGGTAAACCAAAAGCATCTTGAGAACACATGCGGAATCATGTGGATACATGTGGAAGCATCTCTAGTGCCTGCGACTTGGGCGTGAAATCCACAGGTTCAGCGTCTGATAAAGCTTTCAAAAACAAAAGAACCTGCATCTCATGTTTTGTCCCTCTCTCAATGCCGGGTCAATTTTGTGTTTTTGTTAAGTCTCAAGTAGTTGTCACTTGCTATAAGATCAAAAGGCAACTACTGTACAGGTCGGAGGTCGGGGAGTTGACATAGCCCGACAGACCGTTGAGTCGGGCTCCACCGTGTGTGGCAAGGGTGCGACATTTGGAGGATCTAATCCGACATCAATCCAGTCAAATATCCTGAAAATGTCATCGTTCTTTCATTTTGCAGCAAGTGTTGAAGTGATGCGCCAGGTCTTAAGTTCAAACAAGTGTCATCAAGCCGTCTTCCGTAACAATCAGCAGTGACTTATTGTATGGTTGGCAGGTCTTTCAATCACATCGATGAGCGACACCAACATGTTCTCCCGCTCGAAGTGGAGCTAAGCTAAGCTGCTAAGCCCAGCTAAGCCCTGCACGTTCAGTGCGCTCTTTACGCGGGAAATGCAAAGCAGCAGCAGATAGGCCTCAATGGATCTCGGCTGAGAAAGCCGTTTAGAGGCCATTGCTATTGGGTTGAAGAGTTGAAGGCCATTGCTATTCAGTTGGAGGCCATCGCTACTAGCTTGGAGGACGATAGGCCTCAATGTCTGAGAAAGCCGTGTTGCGCGGCGCGTTCCTGGCAAACAGCAGACAGCTTCGTTTGCCTTGTTGCTTGTAAAGCCTAGAGACAGCCGTGCTACTCTCCAAAATGCCTGAAGATGGACTTAGAGCTCTCTGTTCCGTTGTGGTGACCCAAGGTGTTCCATTCAAACATGTTTGTGAATGGATTGATGAATATCATTATTCCATTTGTTATATGTGAATGTGCATGATGTTTTCTTTGTAAATGCAGATTGGATCCTGAAGGGAATTCCTGTCTTGCGCATGGTCAACATGTGCCGTCCGATGTCACCTCCCCTTTGAACAAAAGACATGTCGCGCATCGCTGCTCGTCGCTGCTTCATACATTCTCTTCTATCGAATGCATTCTGCCCTTGTCCTGACGCCTAAAAAAGGACTCCTCGACTTGAGAAGTGACCATCAATTCATGGATCTTGGCTCCCAGTCTATTCTTGATTGGTCTTCTCGAGTGCTCTGGGACGAAGAAGAACCATCTTTTGATTTGATCTATGGCCCCTCTCGTCTCGGCTTCTCCGGCGCCCCTCTCGTCTCGGCTCACGCTTGTTGCAGCGGCCTCCGAAGCAGAGAAGCCGTACAAGCGGTGCTGAACCTCGGAAGCGGCGCAAAGATACCGGAGAGAGGAACAGCTGTGATTGGAAGACTCACCAAGCTTGTTGGGTAGAGCCCGTAGTCCACTGATTGGAGTCCCAAACAAACACTGGAACACCCGTGTGCATTTGGTGAAGGTGGATTCACGCATCAAAAAAAGAACATCACCGGAATCCGCTCAAACCAGGCCTATGGCAGATCGAGTGATATGGTCGGCGTCTCGCCGTCACAGTTCCATGGAAGTGGATGGCATGGTTTCCTGGCTTCGACGATGATTTTCCTCTGCTAACAAGGGGGGGGTCCACTTCCATATGAGCGAGTCGCCGTTCCTCTGCGTTCCATCACGCTCTTCTCCCTCAATGGCGAAAGGGGCCTTCCATCCATCAGAGCTGGCTGGTTTTCTTCGCTTGGGCAGAGAATGGTAGACCCTATTGGCTGTAACAACGGATACTGTTACTACTGATGATGATGATGATGATGATGATGGCCTCATTGGCAGGGACCAAGAAGGTCCCAGAAGAGCGAAGTCCAGTGTTACTCACAACGGGCCCATTGAACAGGGGGTGATTGACACCTGAAACCAGCAAGTCAGGTGCTAAAGCCATTCAGTTGTCCATTCATTTTGGGTGGCTCTCCACAAACATCTACAAACGCAAATTGCGGATGCATCTCTGCACCCTCCACAAGCCCGACTCACGGACTTAGCTCACGTCCTGGCGGGCCGGATCTCTCTCATACCTACGCGTTGACGGCCGACCATCGCCCACGGCCGCCGCTGGTGGGAGGCGCCTGGAAGAGGAAAAATGGAATCTGAAAACGCGGAGGTTCCGCCATCAGGTTCCATGTGGGTCCAACCCCCCCAGGTGCCTTGCTTCTCTCCCAACGGACTGCCGCCCCCATACCGTCCCGCCAGGCCACTCGATCGAGCAAGGAACTGAAGATGGGGCTCTGCAGGAGATCCGCGACCTGAGCCGAACGCCAGGCGCGTGGCGGACCGTGGCCCGTCGTGTTCGGGAAGCGTCGGGAAAGCCGAAAGGAGACACGGAAAGCGCCGTCGCGGAGGTTCTTCGTGTCACAGGATCCCCAGGTGTGAAGTTCATAGACCAAAAACCTTTAGAGACCCATCTATGAAGGTCGGGAAATCCTCCGGTCATGCCTCCTCCATCGGAATGAGCCCGAAGACTCGAAGAGAAAGCACCGCGATCGACTCGGGGTTGGATCCGCAGCCACGAAGAGCAAGACGAACTCAGGAACCAAGGCCCGTTTCGTTCGGTGGGTGGTTTTGGTATGTTTGAGTCTTTGGAATGTTTAGTTTGGTATGCTTCGGTTTGTAGTTTCGGTTTGTGGTTGGTGGTTTAGTCTGTGGTTTGTTCCACTGCACTGTACTGGTTGCCTACAGTGTCGTTCTGGTTCGTTCTGGATCCACTGGGACAGGGACAGCAAATCTGCCAACAAACAGGATTGTGATGGTCTGCTTGTAACAGAAGGGTAGCTATATATGTGAGTCTGGCTATGACCGAAGCTCGCAGAGTTGGGGATGATGGGAACTCCTTCTCTGCTTGGATGGGCCCCTTGAAAGACCATGTTCCTCTACCAAAAGGGTCCTCAACACCGCTTCCAGGTGACTCGGAGCGATTCTATGAGATGAGATGATATAGACCTTTCATGTCAGGGGCTGATTAACCATAATATGGCCTATGTATTCCCATTGTTAGGCCATACATGGGCTGATTTGAATCACCTGTCACAGCTCGCTCGCGCCTGGTTCTCCTGGATGGCGCGGCTGGTGACTTCTCCCAGCACCGCCAGACACTGGCGCAACAAACACGGCGGGATCCACGAAAACGGCGGAGGTCTGGCCTGTTGTAATGAAATCCTTTGATGGATGAGTCTGAAAAACACCTGAACACGATCTTCAAGCTGCAACGATCTGAAAAAGTGGGGTGTCCCACCATCTTCTGGCACCCCGCTTCATTTTTAAGGACCTGGATAGGCTCACGAGAGACAAACCCTGAAACATCCTCATCGAGTCAACCGCAAAGAACTGTCCACAGATAGGAACCTCCTCCAGGATTGCTCCACCTGATGAGGCCCTTGATTCCTCCACTTCACACTTCTTACAACTGCCTCCCGTGTTCAGCCCCCCACTTTACCCTCGCCCCCCACCCTCGTTCCTGGTCTCCCAACCCCTGGCGCTTGCCACTTCCATCGCGTCCGTCCCACCTTGGTGGCCGTCCAGGACGAGGAGCGCTCCGCCGTCTGCAGGAGCTCCGCCAGGGTAGGCTGACCCACCAACTGCGTCCGCACCCAGCGCCTCACCACCGAGGCGCGGTGGCCCGTGCCACTGTAGGCTGGTGTGGGCAGGTCCGGATCACGAATCTGGTGGCCGAGGGGTTATTGATGTCTCTGCCCAAAAAGGGCTGGCGCACAGAAAGAAGATCTTGGAAGTGGCAGCCAACAAAGGCAATAAACCAACACCCACGCCCGGTCATCCACTCATCCCTTGCGACCCCCGCCGGCCAGCAATAATTCCCCCCGTCCCTTTGTCGAGAGGGGCACCTGGGCCAGGCAGCTGAGCGGAGGAACGTCAGGCGGCCCCGCCTCTCGAGCGGAAACGGGGAAGAAGTGGTCCGTTTCCGCATGCTCGGGGAAAAGTCTGGAATTGATTTCAGAGATCCAAGGGAAATCCAACGTTTCAAGCTTGGGCAACTGAACCATCTCTTTACGCTTTCCAACTATATATATATAATATATATTTACAGTATTCTTTTATTTTTGTTGTCGCATGAGTGCCTACTTGTGCCTCCAGTGGCCATGGTGTTGGCCACGGTGTTGACCAGTCAGCACAACAAAACCTGTGAGTCATGGAAACCGGTGTCGCTTTGACGCTTGGCACCTGCAGATCAGTGGAGAAAGCGCCATGGCCAGAAAGTGCCTTGCTCTGCGTGCTGAAGAAGCCGCACTCTTCAGCACTGAAGAAGCTCTGTTGTTCCATCAGTCAGTGTTGTTGAAGGAAGGATTTCCAGGCGCGCGGTTCAGTTGATTCGCATGTGGAACAGCCCTTCAAAGGCTCACTTTTTCTTGAACCGACTGGTCAAGGCGGCGAGCCATGTCCAGAAGCATGGAAATCAAAAGAACCCCTGCCAAACAATACCCAGATACGACTGATGGGACTGGAATGTATGCTCCCTGGGAATCCCAAACCATTCGTTTCATGGTCTTTAAGTGATTCCAAGGCCGGAATGTTCTGAGGTGCCCCAAACAGAGTCTTTGGACTTCGGTACTTACATTGACTCCCTTTTCAATCCATCACCCCTAGAACTTCTCGGTCGCCAGTCCCATGGGTCCCATACGTCGCGTCGCACGGAGACGAACCACGCGCGAGGACGACCGCGAAGACGAAGAAGCTCCCTGGACCGGGAGGCTGGAGGTGCAAACGAAGAGATCTGTGCGAAGACCTATGAATAATGAATGAATAAAGAATTGAATGTGTAGCGCTACAGTGATGGATCTTTCGCGGTACGGTTCTGTGACCACCTGACCACCGGAGGAGCGGTGCTCCGGTTCCGACCCAAAACGAGGTCAGCGGGCGGTTTTCGAGGCATACTCCTTCGCCGGTCAGTTTCAGACTGGATTTGGAACCTCCGGTTCTGCCAGTTCGGCATGCAGCCCCAAGTACGTCAGAGAATGGCAGAGCTTGTGACACAGAGCGATTGTCATCGAACACCTAGTGATCTAATTAGCATGGAATCATAGCTGATCTTAGCTACCTTGCTCCAGCATGGCCTATGAAACCTTCAACACTCTTGGGACATCTTCCCTCAATCCATGCGACACTGAAAAAAGAAGCCCCATCGCTTCGGGCCCCAACAACCAGAGTTCTCCATCTCCGCGGGTCATGTCACCGGTGCTGGTGGCGATCCCCGGAGGTTCCGAACGACTTGGCGGTCGGTCATGCGAAACGGTGAAAGCGGTGGGCCGGAAACACCCTTTCAGGAGCACCGGTGAGCAGTGAGACGTGGCCAGGATGGAGGATCTCGGTCTCGTTTCTGGAGCGGTTTTGGCAAGACAGGGTGGATGGTAATGGTAGAGGGTTCTTGGCACGCAGCCACTCCATCAGCTACAAGCTCAAAACCTTCTTGTCTTCTGCACCATGGCTCCACTGTTTGACCCTCCATGGTCCACTTGGCTGCCGCTCTTCGACAGCAACTACCGTCGAGAGGCCCGCGAGCCGCGGGAGCCACTGCGGCTGCGGGCGGAACCCAACGAGCTTTGGCTTTCGGAGCGGCCCGTGCGGCTGCTGCTGCGACTATTGGGCTTGCCGCTCCTGCCACGATCGGATCGATCGGGCAATGGCGGATGCATGAAGATTCATTAGGTCAGAGGTTTTGCTAAGCCGTCCACGAAAAAACTGAAACACATATGACCATGGCAAAACCACATGCCACCAGTGGACAAACGCTGAGACCTTGCAAGTGAAGTTCGAGTTGAACTGGTCAAAGCTACTAGGGTTACCAGGCAAGACCTAGTGAATATCCAGGGCCTAAGCTGTTGAAGCTATTGGTTGAATTCTTCGTGTCACCTATACACGATTTTCAGTCTGGCAAACACACTGGTCGGATGTGGACGAAAGAAAGTGGTCGGCTCAACAGGGAAGAATACACACAAGCCACAGTGAGGTGAGTTGGTAGCGCACGAATGAAACATCCACATGCTTGCTCGCTTTCTATTTCTCTTGCCCTCTGAATTCGCGGAAAGTCCCAGGAAGAATCTGACAGCTTGCTCTCCATGAGGCCCACATCTAAGATTTCAGAATCACTTTCACTTTCACCACCCTTCTCACCATCATCATCCTCCATCCTCCCCCCAGTCTCCGCTCTTCAAACCCCGCGTTTGGCGCCTCTTCTTCCGATCCTCTCCAGTCTCCGCTCCCGGCGCATGGAGTGGAAACTGCGCCTCGTAGGCGGACAAATTCACCAGCTCCTCGCTGCTGGGGCCCCACTCCATGGCCAGGATGCCATCGTAGATGATGGACTTCCTCGAGGAGTCGGAGACGAAACGAGCGATGGTCGCCAGCTTCCCATAGAGACGAACGGTTTGGAGTCCGATGTGACAGGGACACGTCCGTTCCTTGGTCCGTTTCTTCGGCACCCCTCCATTGGGTGCTGGGAGCTGCATGGGAGCTGTAGCGGTCACCGGGAGCGACATGGAAAAGTCAGCAGGGCGGCGACATGGTGCGAGTTATGACAACGGCTTAGGTGCCTTCGGTGGGACTCATGTTTGCTTAAAATGTCCTGTCACGGATATAGTATACGCGACAGCGAGTCCTTCGGTTGGACTCGTTGTTGAACCTCCGTCATGTAGCAATTGAGAGTTCAATCAACGAAGTCGTAGGTTCAGAGCGAGAGTCGATGGGACAAAGACCCCAAACGGGTGCTCCGGACAAATCATGGCGCACGAATCAATCACACGAACATTCACACGAACACACGCATCAAGCACCAAATGGTGCTCCAGTTCCATGAAATCACACGAATCGAACACACGATGTTCACTGGAAAATCACCCACTGGGCGGCTCCAACCACCACGGAACTGGGCCACGCGGGTTCCCAAACCTGTCCACCCACCGCACAGCACACTTGCGCTCCTGAGCTCAAAGAGGATGGGCACCCAGGTCCTCAGAGCCATCCGAGATGCTCCGTCAGAACATGTGGAATCGTTCTGTTGCTAAGTAAGAATTGCCCAATGTCCCAACGCCTAAAATGTTCATCTCCTTAAACCCGCCCAAAAACAAAAAACGTTCATCTCCAGTCCAGAAGCACCAAGGCCGGTCTCCACCCATGGCTGTCCGGTCTGCGCCCCCCCCCGATCGTGCACCTGCCCCGCCGAGCCGCTTGATGTGGTCCACGTAGGCCACGTCGCCGCCGGCGTCGATCTCCGCCTCGGCGACGAAGCCGCGGAGCTCGGCCTCGCTGAGCTGGCACTTCTCGGACTCCTGCTTCATGGCCTTTCGAGATGGAGATGGGATGGGAAATGGACGAGATGGACTGCTTCATCTTCTTCGACTCCTTCATGGGATGGAGTCGAAGATGGTGGCTCGAAGGGGAGGCTCCAAGTGGCTCATGGTCGGAAAGATGGTGATGGTCTGGATGGTCTACGGTGATTGGCTTGAAGACAATAAGCGCCCAGGGGCCCAAATGGCAGTAGAAGAACCTCTACTACCAGGATTTTGTCCACCCCCCTTGCAACAACCCTCAAGAAGAATCGTTCCACCTCCCTCCCCTGCCTCCAAGAATTTCCTCACCTCCAAGGTGGGCGGATTCCGATGCTTATCATCCGCCTGGGTTCCCACGTGGATCAAACTCTTCTCCACGGCGTCCCGGTCAGGTGCGTTCTGTTGCTGATCCTCTTGATCCTCCTGGCAGACTGCAGCAGACCAAAACTCCTCTGTGTTGCTGCGAGAACTTTTGAGACTGGTGTTTTCCCCGTCAAGTCTAAGAGTTCCCTTCTTAAAAGAGAAGTATAAGGCGGACGGTCGAAAATCTTGAACCAACAAACCCCCGTCCAACACAGAATAGTAGGCCGGCCGAACGCTGCATCCCGTCCTCGTCCATACCCCGTTTCTTGTTGGCTAAGCTGCTGCTTAAGCCTTGGAGCTCTTCCAACTCCTCAAGCAAACCGCACACGCTGAAGGCGTCGAGTAAAAGCCCAGCATGGGTCGAACAGGAGGGTCACTGTGGTTTTCCCAGGACTCCAAGTTGACAGGACAAGCAAGCAGAAAAGGAGATACTGTAAGTTTATAGAAGTCTGGAATTCTAGGTCATCTGCCTTGTAACTGCTGGAACCAGGGCATTCACGTGAGCCGACAAATGAGATACCACTAGTTAAGTCGTGGGCACAATACTGCGGTTGCAGCTTGACCTAACCCCATAACTGCAGCCAGAGGTGGTGTCCTCAGAGGTGGTGTTGACTCTCCAGTCGCCAGAGACTCTCCCATCCGGTCCTGCTTCGCCAGCGCATCCGCCTTCTCCTTGGCGATCGTCGCCGCCTTTTCCGCGAAGGCGTTGGTGTCGAACATCCTCGGCGAGACGCCGAACGCGGCCGAAGAGGACGGCGGAAGAAAACCCCGAAGCGTTCCCGAAGCGTTCACAGGATGAGACTGTCCACCGGGCTCTGAAGAAAAAGAAACGTCCAGATTTGGGAGGAAGACCTTTTCCGAGGGCATCTGCAAGTCGACGGTTTCTTTGCAAGACATGTGACCATGTGGGAGTGATCGAAATTCCACGTCCTTTTCACCAGGAAGAAAACAAAAACAACTTCCTGAAGAGCATTTCTTACTTTCAAGATCTTTCAAGATCTTTCAGGTGAATATCTTTTGCACCCGGTGAAAAATCTACGGATCAACATGACCACTGACCAGGTCAGGCGGCGAGTCCGTCGGAAATGGAAGTTCCAAGATACTTTAGCTGAATCACGGTGGAATCCTGGTTTTAGAAACAGAAAAGCTGGCTGTTTAATAGAAATTTGCAAACATGTGTGCATGAAGCAAAGGCTCCAAACTCTCATCCCCCAACTCTGACACAGAACTCCATCTGCTTTCCAACGTGCCAAGTGTCCATGGGATCACCGTGCAGCAAACCCGCAAGAAGTAGCCAAATTCCACATCCCCATGCTCATCCGGATGGACGATGCTCAGGATCACATGGATTTGCATTCGTGACAAGCAGAGCTGGTCTGCCTCAGTGGAAAACGCAAGCAATGTGAGAAGGTGTCCAAGCAACCGATCAGTTTCCTCGCCCGTTGTGGATGTGCCACCCGTCAAGCACAAGCGCAGCACGAGCAAATGGAAGATGGCTCATGGGAGACCGAGCTGATTCACAGGGTGGTAAAAGGGGGCAGGCATGGGCTATGGCAGTGATGGGATGATGTTGTGGGATGAAACATCAATATTTACACTTTCTGGAATCATCATGGACGTGGAAAATGACTCGGAGTGTAAGACAGCTCATTCCCACCATCCCCTCCACACTCCACCCACCCTCATCCCATCACCACCCGTCTACGATCATCTATGGCCCACACCGACACATCCTACACTCGCACTGTGGGTGTCGCAGCGAGGGGCTGCCAAGAGGATCTTCCGGAGGTCCCAAACCGGCAAAATGTTGTCGCTGGGCAAACCCATGCGTCGGGCCAAGAGAATGAGATGAATCCTCAGGGCGCCCACGTCCGTCTCCACCAGGGCATTGTGCAAGGCATCCTGAGCGTGGTCAGACCAAGGCGACGTGAAATCGAGAAATCCCTGAGCAAAATGAATGTGGATAGCTTGGGCCTATCCTATTACCAGGGCCCAGTGGGCCCAGTTCTTGTTCACTGACGGCTTCGCCTGGCTCCACGGTACCTGTTTTGAAGAACCAACCGGACTCCATGCGTCGTCACGTTCGTGGTCGCCATGGCCCAAGACAGCGTGCCGGACGGATGGTTGAAAGGGACCATCCAATTGGCAGCGTGGTGGTCTTGAGGAAAACAAGGCCCCAAATCAACCAGCTAATCAAATGACGGGTCTCAATGCGCAGCTGTTGCAAGAGCATGGGGAATTCCTCATAGACTAAGACATTGCCCTGTTCATCTTCTCGGCACATCTGCATCAGCATCTGCACCTCTTGCAGCGAGAGCCGTTCCTGCGACAGCGGGGCGAAGAAACACACAGCTCGGAGGAGCATATGGGGGGGTGCGCTACATGTGGAAACAACAGCTACTACTGGGATGTTATCTCTTCCTCGGAAAGACCTCTCTCTTGGTGGTCTCTCTTGGTTGCTCAATTACAACACGTATGGCTTTCCGAAGAAGAGAACCCCTCCACGCCAAGCGTGTGTTGTTGAATGCTCCTGCACAATCCTATAGCCAAATCCAAAAAAGTACGGCATGGGCTTCCCTGCCTGAATCATGTGCTGAGCATTGAGAAATATGGAACGCTTCAAAAAACACCACAAAAAGGTCCGGAGGAAAAAAGAAAGCTTTCACCAACAGATTATCTTTTTTTTTTTCCTCGTCTCTTTTGTTCCTGCTCTGCATCAGCCATTTTGGCTGCGAAAAAGGGCCGGCAGCGTTGTGTGCTCTGCCTTCCCACATGGCTTCATCAAAACCTTACTGGGACTGAAATTCCCTGCCTTGCTGAGTGCATTTGCCATGCATCGCTTGCATGACACCTTGCCGCCTTGTCGCCAAAGTTCATGGGTGCCGTGTCCGTTCCACCCTTCTTGTGCCATCCAAGGCCCGTTCCAGCAAGGGGTTCTTGCCAGAGCCTCCAGCTTCTCTCTGGCGGCGTGCCGCAAAATGCGGCTCTTGCACTCTCTGCACACGAGGTAGTTCCTTTGGAGCTCAAAGCAGTGCGCTGACATGCCAGGCAACGCGCCCGTCAACACCTGCTGCAACATTTCTCCTTTGGAGAGGCTGGCTGGCTGTCCTCCATTGAGCTGGATTTTTGCACCAGCCGGACACTGCTCGTGCTTGACAGCCTCCAAATCAGCCATCTTCCAATGCTTGTTGATGCGCTTGCTGCACCCTTCACATTGGAGACTGGTGCCCTTTGCCTGCCATGCATGCCCTCCATCTTGGTGGTGGTTGCCAATGTCCAAAAACAACTGCCTTTTTGGCCTCTCTGGCTTGTTCTCTATTCTTTTTACCTGTTTCCTTGGCCTCATGCAGGAAGTGGCTTTTGTCTTCAAAAAGAAGCTTGATGCGCTGGATTGCCAGGGTAGCGATTTTTTGATATCGCTGGTCTGTCACCTTCAGCTCCTCCTCCAAGGCCTCGGGTCTGAGCGACATTGCCACTTCCTTAGCCGCCTTGGTGGCGTCTTTCATGCGAGCCTGAACCGTGAAAGGTCCTCCAGGCATGTCATTGATCTGCTTCAAGGTCAAGCTCATGGGTTGGATGCGAGCCTGCTGATCATGCGTGACCAAATTCCTCAAATCATGAAAGACTTCCCTGTGTTTCTGTTTCATCCAGCCTTCCCAGGCACGAACAGAAAGCACTTGCACAAGCACTTTCTTGGACAAATCCAGGTAATGTGCCATGAGTCTCAAGCCGTAGAACCATGCTCTTTCTAATGACTGGGCGCCTGGCAGCACTGTTGTGACCGCCCCTTTGCGGTATAGGGCTCCGTCAACTTGTGCGTGGTGCACTAAGGCAACAACGTAGTGTTTGAGACGCACATCAGTGCTTGTGCTTGCGGTGCCAATTGTCACCTTCTCATTGTCTTGGAGGGCCACTTCGTCATGAACTGTCCAGGAGCCCCATGTCTGAACCGATGCACCACCTGTTGACAACTCATAGGTGGGCATTTGGATGAGGCCCTGTGCCCAAAAATCCAGGTTGATGCCTAGTTCAACTTCCGCCATGTCGGCGCGATCCAGCGGCTGGCAGGCTCTTTGTGTCTGCGGGCAGGTCCATAACAGATGAATCGTTGTGGCTTCAACCTGACAATGAGGGCACATCAGGTGCTTCCCTTCTTGTCCATCAGCGCTCTTGGAGAAGAGAGCTCCTTGATGCCAAGTCTGCAGCATCAGGTTCTGCTGTTTGTTGAGGGTGCGACTGAGTCTCCGCCATGGAAGCCAGTCAAGCGGTTGTTGCACCTCAGCCAACTGCGATCTGCGATTGATCTTCATGACAGTCTCCCATCTTCTGGCACGTGCAAGCTCTTGCTTGAGGAAAAACCAATCAGCATGCATGTTCAACCGAAAATCAGGTTGCCCATTGTGACCAGGCTTTGTCCACTCACTGTGACTCTCATAGTTCCAGCCATGTTCATGGAGGTAACATTGCAAAGCAGCCACCGGTCCTTTGGCGTGCTGCCAAGGATATTTGACTGCCTGGAGTCGTTCTCTGTGGACTTGCCAGGCTTTTTCGAAGTCTCGCCCCAGGTGTTCCGGCCAGTTGCCATAGAACCGATGGTAAAGCCTTACCTGATCTTCAAAGGCACCGTAGTCCGGATCACGATGTTGGGGCATCATGTCGAAAAGGATGTCAACATTTCCTGTTTTCTGCAATCCCATCTGGCGTCCCATGGTAGCCTTGAGACGCCGCCTGACTTGAGGAGCCAGGCCCATGGCCTCGTGCCCCCAACTAACGCCAGCGACGATGGACCCTTTATACAGCTTCAGGCGTATGGACTGCAGTGGTATCTTAAGCACCTGCAACTTCCGTGTCTTTCTGGCTGCCTTATGTCTGCGGCTCCTCATTGTCTGGATGCGCCTCAATCTCCCAGCTGTACAGTCAACTCCTAGGTCTCTCATCACGTCATGAATGCGTGGACCTCCTTGGGGAAGTTGCTCCTGTAGGATCCTCTTCACTGCAGCATTTGAGCAAACAAACCCAGTCTTTTGCGCAGACACTTTCAAATCATCTTTCTCCAGTTCTGCTCGGACAAAGTTGTATGCCTGGATGGCAATCCTTGCTGCATTGTGTGGGTCCTTGTCAACAACATCGAAACTGAGGTCGTCGATCCAAAGATCAGTGCGCAGCTGAGGATATCTGCGGTGGAACTCCTTCATTGCTCGCTGCAAGTACACTTTGGCTGCTAGAGGAGCCTGCGGGTCTCCAGCAAGAATGCCATGGGTGCCCCACAAAGGTTCTGATGCTTCGCCTTCAGCCTCCAGAATCCTGCTCCCACTGTAAACTTGCATTGCCATCGCTGCATGAGTGGCTGGATATGAGGAGGCAACCCATCTGTTGGCCAGCTTTTGCAAACAGATCCGGTCATAGAAATTGGACAAATCCAACAGCACCGAGACAACTGTGCGGCGATGGGCCGTGTGGTGTTCAGTCATGAAGGATCTCTTCAATGCAACCTGCAGGCATTCAGTCCCAGGAACAGCACGTTCCCACAAATACTCAGCTTGGATATTTTGCGACCACTGCTTGGGATACTTGTTGCGGATTCGGCACCAAAGTCGGTACAGAGTGGCAACCAGTGCGATTGGTCTTTCAATCACTTGTGATTTTGGCAGCAAAGCAATCAACGAGGCACCCCATTGGTGTGGTATCATGGCCACACTCTCAATGTGATGGAACATGTCCTTCAAGTCAGTCATTGCACTGAAAGGTAAAGCTTTGAGGAAATCAAAACCAATGCCGTCCAAGCCCGGAGCTTTCAACGCCATCTGCTTGATGGTGTACCAGATGTGTGCTTCTGTGAGCGGTTCCATTGCCTTTGCTTCTTGCTGCCCTTTTTCTATGAGGCTTTCCATGCATGGGATGAGTACCGGTTGCTCTTGCACACCCCAAATGTCTCCCCATTGGCTGACCCTCTTGTCCATGCGCTCTTCACGGGGAAGCGTTTGGAAAGGCCGCAGGTATGGGAGCTCATCTTTCTTGAGGGTGCGAAAGAGGCCCTTACAGCCCTGATGAGCTGCCTTTGCAAGCCACTGCCTGTATTCTTCTGTCTCTTGCTGCATGCTTGTTTGTTGATGCAGTTCACGCTGCTTCTGCGTGTAGTTCAGCAAAACATGGATGTGTTCATCACCGTGCTGGTACCATAGCATCTCGTACAGCATCTTGTATCCCTGACATGTCACCGGAGCATCGTTGTGCCAGTTGTCCTCAATGTGCCAACCCAATTTCTGAAGGGCACCTTGATGGCGAGGTTCTCTGTCAGTTTGATGCAGCAGCCTTTGCAACCTGATTTCAATCTGGCCCCAAAATGCTAGGCTCCCCTTCCGCCATATCCATGGCTTACTGGTGTCATTCAGCGGTTTTTGTACATAATGCAATGCTGTGCCACGACCTAGGTGCGGTGCCTCAAGGTTTTGCAACACATACCTCTCAATGCGGTTGTAAAGATTGCCAACTTGATTCGTCAGATTGTCCGCCTCCTTGTTGAGCCACTTGACTTGAACTTGCTGCTCTTCAACTTGGTGCCATTCTTTGGCCGGATTTTGCAGCTTCGGTGCTGGTCCGAACTTTGACAGCTGCCGAACAACCACTTCTTCGAAATGGCCTGCAATGCTGAACCTCAACATGGCATGGGGTTTGAAAGGGACCATCCAGTCTGCTTGGACGTGCATGTCAGCTATCAAGATGTTGGATACCAAGGCCCAATCAAGTTCACTGCCAGTGTTGCATGTTTCCTCTCCGGTGGCCAGGATCTGAACTTGCATGGCCTGTGCCATTGTCGTGGTGCTAAAAGCTTCAGGTGTCACATTGAAGTCACCAAAAACAACCACCGGTTTCTGCAGCTGCTTTACAAAGGCAACAAGACTGCCCCATAAAGTGGAGTTGGTTGGTCCTTGCAACCCTTCGCCACATTTGAAATAGGTCATGATGAGCACGATGATGCTATTGGCAAACGACCAACTGACAGCGTACCATCCGCAGCCCTCAACCATCTGTTTGTGCAGGAAGTGGAAGTGCAGATGCCAAGGGTATACCATCAGCAGGCCTCCATATGTGCCTCCTTTGACACTGACTGCTGCAGGCTCCCCCAAAACTCCCAGACCTCGAGTGGCGAACCATTGAACCATCTTTTCATGATCCCCCGGTCCCAGGTGTGTTTCAACCATGAAGAGCGGCTTTCTGGGGCGGGTGACCACCCATTGTCTGACTGACTGCCCAAGCTGAGTGACATTGGCATAGTCAAACTCGATGCTTTCTTTGCGCCCACGTTTGGGAGTCGGCTCCAGTGATTTGCTGGGTTTGTCCTCAAGGTCACTGCCTATGTTTTCAGGAAGCAAACGGCTTGAAGGAATTGCCCACACTTGCACTTCTGCTGCTTAATCTTTTCGCTGATGCCCGGGATGGCCTTGGGATAGGCCCCATCATCAACTAGCCAATACAGCCCTCGGTAGATGAAGACTGCAAAGAAATGCCCTTCTTGGTGTGCTGTGCCCGAGTGGCACAGAAAACCAATGACTGAAAACTGCTTCGTTTGCGTCTCATTCCCGTCCAATGTCAAAGGCAGGTTGAAAATGGAAGGAACTCGTAGCTCTCTGTGATGTTTTGTCCACTCCCCATCAACTTGCCTATATCGTCCAATCTGTGCCACCCAAAGCCCTTGGCCATCAAAGATTTGGCCTTCAGCTGTGTTGGCCCAGCCCGCGATGAGCTGCTCAAGCTCATTGGTGCCTTGATCTTCGTGAAAAATCAAATGCATTGGGAAGGCTCGACATTGGTGGACCACTTGCCTGTGGTCAACATGATGGTAGCCCTGGATCACGCTGTCGGTGTCAGCCAGAGCCACAAGTTCTTGCAAGAAGTGGGAAGCATCATCTTGCTTGGTGTCATCAAATTGTTCCCAGAGCTTCTCAATGCCTGGGAGGTTCGGGAGATGCACTATGTCATCCGCCCGCAATGCCTCCATGACTGCCCGTCGTGTGGTGTTTCCCCACAGCTGTTTTCCGTCCATGAAACTACCTGCCCAGGTCCAAAGTCGAAAAGCAGCGTTGGCAAAACATCTATTGTTTGGATTGCCCAGTCTGCATTGCAAACACTGAGCCACAAAATCGAGCGGGCCCAAATGACCCCGCATGGTCTCATCCTTCTCAACTTCTTCTTCCTCGCTGGTTGGGATCATCATGACGTCATGATCACCAGCGCCCCCGGTGAAGCCGGGAAAAACCCCAGCTTCAAAGGCCATCTGCTGGATGGCCTGAGTCCCCATGTCAGGACACGAAGAGGCTGGCCCCCCACATCCTGAGCCACAAGCTGCACAACCAGTCGCTTTGCTCTCTGTGTCCCCTGAAGAAAAAGCATAGCTAATAGTTGTGTCATCCCCTTGCTGAGCTTTTGCCTGCTTCATGGTGTTACCCGCACTTCCTTCTTTTTGCGGCTGTTTCACCAAGCTTCACCGCCAGGTCTTTCACCTGTGCGGATGTTGCCTGCAAGCCTACACTAGCCATTGCGGTGACCAGGGCTTCAGGCGAAAGCTCGTCTGCCATTTCAGCATCTTCTTGTTTCTGATTTTCCAACTGCTGATTGTACTGCGATGTAGTCGTCTGAAGGTCCTTTTGTGCACTCTCAATCTTTGTCTGCAGCTGCTTGAGGTCTTGCAGCAGCTGGGTGTATTGAGTCTTCACTGCATCGGCCTTGGCCTGTATGGCCGCCTTTGTCTCTGTGAGTTGTTTTAAAGTCCCCACAGCTTGTTTCACTTTGGATGCTAATGGTGGTTCCGGCTGACTGGGTGCCACCAGCTTTTCAACCGCCTCCTTGAGGTCCGTGGGGAGGGAACTCAAATGCTCCTTGATGAGGGTCGGCAGGTCTGGTGTTGCTGGCGCCTCCACTTCCACTACTCCCATGGCCTGACATTTCTCCTTGAGAGCAGCTGGAAGCTGGTCCCAGTGATCCTTCAGGGCCTTGTGGATGGCCGGTGGCTTTGCCTTTTTTGCCTTCTTGCTTCTTTGGCCTCCATAGAGTCCTGGTGGTGGCTCTAACAGCGCCTCCTTGAAAGTCTTGGTGGGCCACTTTTGGCCTGAGCCATCAAAGTTCCATGGCGCCCAAGTCACCCTTTTGGATTTTCTCAAATCCGGTAGGTGCTCCTTCTGCCACCTTGCTCCACACTGATTGCATTGCAGGTGCGGTTGTGTTAACAACCGATCGCCCCATATCCAGCTTTGTCTGCACTTAGTGCAGACCAAATACTGCCTTCTCATGCTCGGTTGCGATCTGGCCCCAGTGCTCTGCAAACACGTGGTGATCTGGTAGATCGTCTTGTCCAAGTGCCCGTCAGGTCACTTGGCTTGATGCTGAAATGGCTTGAGCCCCAACAGATTATATGTATATATATCATCTTATATATATATATGTGGTGTTTTTTTGTCCTAAAGAACCACCCGAACACCAGAACACCAAGCAAGAAGGCTCCAAAATGAGGTCCAGTCCCCACCCATCCCATAGGTCACCCAACAAAGGCCGCCGAAACGGAGCATCGATGCGAACAGGTCTCCATCTTGGACATCAAGCAGGATCGAAACTCGTGCCGCGTCAGCGTCCCCTGGCTGGCCGGGTCGTGCTGTCCTGAAAGGCGCGGAACGAAGTGAACGCTGGTGAACGCCGGGCGAGGGCCCGGAAGGAGTGGAGAACCCACGGGCGTCGGTTGGAGGTGGGGAAGGGGGGGTGTTTACCCGCGAGTGGCGGTTCGGGTCAGGTTCGGGCCACCGCTGGGGTCGTAGGTCCCGGGAAGCGGCGGAGATCCACTCACTGGGTCGATCCACCGGGGTGGAGAAATCAGCTCTACCACCCACAAGGGGTTAACACCCCGTCTCTATGGGGCGAATAGACACCCCTTCAACGGGCCCTGGTATCCTGTTTGTCCCCAAGTTCTTTTCAATTGCACCGGCTGTTTCTGCTCTGCACACAGACTCTTCCCAGAAAGGCATAAAGAAGAAGCAGATTCTTCAAAGTGGGGTCAGTCACTTCTGGTCGATGGATATAGTGTACAGTAAGAAACCGGCACACTTCATGCTCCTTCAGATTGCGAGTTGGGTGCCACAAAACCAGAACAAGAATTTGAAGAAGTAAGCCATCTTGAGGCAACTTTGAAGCTATCGCAATCCTAGGGATCCAGTCGTACCTTCTCAAAAGGTGATGTGTTCGACTCTGTTCTCGGTGAAACGTCGGGTCCAGTCGGGTTCCAAAACGGGCCGGATCCCGGATGGGCAAGAGATCTGCCAGGTCTCCAAACGCTTCTCGCATGGTCCTCGCCACTTCCTCGATCTCCTCACCGAAGCAGAGCTCGATGGCCTGCGACAGAGCAGAGGAATTCAGCTGCCGCAGTGGAAGGTGGAATTCATCAGCTTCTCAAAGTAGCTTGCCGCAGTGGAAAGCCCAATGATCCGTTTGATTATTTGATGGAGTGAATATCACTTTGCAAGATATGAGTTTTTCGCGGATGAACTACAGCCTTTGTTCTTACAAGTTTCAAGGGCAAGATGAACGTGGCAAGTCACTGGGATGAACATCAGGCATAAAAAGCTCTATGGGTTGCTTTTGGGGGGCACCCCAAAGTAGTGAACTGGAGGTTCATGAATGAATGTATAAATTGTGACCATAATTGACCCACACTGGTGACTTGAGTCTCCGAAAAGAGAATCACCCCCCAAAACAAGACCCTGCTTCCGTCCTTCCTTTCCTCCTTCTTCCGGCACCAAACCGACCATTTTGGGGCAGCTGTGCGCTCCGGCCCCCTTCGTTCGAAGCGGCACCTCCATGGTCACCGGCGCGGCATCCGCGACCTTCCGGCTCTCAAAGGCACTGCGCCGCTGCCGGAGCCCCTCGATGATCTCCGGCGCCGCCGACACGAAGGGCTGGTACTCGATCCTGGCGCTTACGCGTCGCACGGGGTGCGTCGAGCACGGTCGGTGCTGTCGCGAAGCCTCCGGGGGGGCGAAGCCTGGGGGCGAAGCAGCCGGGCGAAGCTCTGCTTGTGACGACACAGGGGATCGGTGGCATAAACACCGGGAGAGGGGCAGTTCTGCAACCACTTGGACAGGTGGGGACATGGATGGGAGTTTCCGGGCTCGTCGTGTGGCAACCTGGAAGGATCATTTCAACCATACCTGGCTCTTCCAACTGTACAAAATGTCTGTCTACATTGTAATGGGTTTGCTTTGCGGTGAGGGACGTCAGCTGGTTGAAGTCAGCTGCGGTGAGGGACGCCACAGACATTCCTGTGATATGAGGCACGACCAGACCTTGGTTGGTTTGAGGATCTCAACTGCGAGACCAATGGTGTGAACAATACATCGCCGCCAGGGAGAGGGATTCAGCACAAAAGTTCGGACGGGGCATAGGGCCAAGATCCAAGATTGAGGCGGATCACGCGAAAGCCACCAAAACTTAACCAAACCCATGGAAGCCTCATCAGTCTGAGCTGGTTTGAAACATCCCTATCCAAGCAATGGACACTGGCACAAACATCCGGCTTGGCCCTCACACGGGTGAACAGTGTGGATACACCGAACAGCATGAAACAAACCCTCAAAGCAGGAGAAGATTAGAAACTGCAACACCATGCAACCCCCCTACAGTATGCGTTGGGAGCCAAGAAACCAGATTGATCGGGCACCTGTGCACTCGTTCCATCCCTATCTCCGCCCCATATCAAGCCACTGGTTCCCCTCCAAATCCACTGGCCTTCCGGTCTCGAACTCTGTCGCTCTGGTCAAAAGCAACTTGATGTCCCAATCCGTCAACCCCAAGGGTGTGGCATAGAGCAGATCAGCGACCTCCTTGTGTCGGAGCTCGAGCTCATTCTCCTGCCGATTTGGAGAAATCGGAGTAGAGAGAAGAAAGGCCACAACGTCTTCTCTGAAAGACGTCCCCAGAGGTCTTCTTTCACATCCCTCCACGCCCTTCCAATCCACTCCAAAGCCACTTCAAAACCTCTCCCAAAACCCTGCAAACCTCGTCCGCCGCATCAAAGATGTTGGCCAACAAGGTGCTCAAATCCAGCTCCACCGCTGGATCCTCCGCGGGAGCAACTGGTACACCGGCTCCAGCGCTGGGAACAGCGGCCACATCAGCGGCCACGTGGCCGGGCGCATGTGGCCCGCTTGCGTCCTCCACTGTGACCTCGAAGCCGGAGCGCCAGAGGTCAAGGTGGTATGTTGCCATGTAATTATACAGTACAATTACTCATGTAGACTGTTGATTTATGAAACCCCTCAGGACTGGAGATGTCAAACCATTCTGGTAAGGTGGTCTTATAAACACACAAGAGTTTCAGCCCGGATGACCAACCACCAAGTGGGGCACAGGCAAGTTCGAATGGCTGGTGCCCACCAACATGAAGGTTCGGGGACTGCAGGTTTCTTCTGAGACAAGGGCCGTCCAGCCACTGGAGGCCTTGGAGCCACATTCGGAAAACTGCTTCCATCTGGCATGGCTAGCTGGATCTTTGCCACTTGGAATCCATTTAAGCCACTCCATGCAATTTCCGCAAGCACCCTAACCTTTCCAGTTCCAACCACCCGAGCAGCGTTGGTTGAGCAAAAAAGCACGTTCCCCCACCAAATTCTGCTGGGCGACCTCCGCTTCTTCAATGTGTGGAGGTGGAACCAGGCGAGTCTGTTCGAAGGAGGTCGCCAAATCGTGGAGCTGCCGCACCTGAGCATCGCGAAGCGTTGTGAAGCGTTGCGATGTGCGTTGGCCGTTGACCGTTGGCAGGAGACGGGTTGGGGAAGCGAATGTTGGAATCTCGCGGCGCACTTTTCAAGAAACCTTGCAGAAGACACTCTCTGGCATATATAGTCAACCCCAGGAATTGGATTCGACAAATCACAAGGAACACCCCCAAAATGGGCATGAATCATCCATCTGCTCGGGATCTTTCAGAAGGCCTCGCTCGGGTCTTTGATAGAACGGGTCGCTCTGATTCCGCGCCTGCAACTTGTCCCCGATGATGCGGTCGAGCCAGCATTCGTACATCCCAGGAGCTAAGCTTTGTCCGCTCACCTGTCGTGGACACGTTTCCGGAGAAGAACGGAGGCCCTCTCCGCCGTGAAACGGTCGCCCGCAAACGGACGTTGGGCGTGTTGGGTTCGGACGATGTGGCAGATGTTGGGCCAGTGCCGTTCGAAGGGACCTTGATGGGACCTTTGAAGCTCCCATATGGGTGGGGTGTGGATGTGTGAGGGATGGCAACTGATGCCAGTCTGACGGTGTGCTCGAACTTGACCCGTCAGGATGTATCTGAGATTCTTGCAATTGCCAGATCAATCAGGTTCAAGCCCATCGAAACCCTTAAGCCAAAAGCCCAAAGAAACCAAGGCCTTCTGCTGGCACAAGCGCCAGCATCGAAATGCGCTTTCCCTTCTCTTCTGCCCGCCTCATGTTGAACGTTCTCCTCCTCGAACTGGTAGGTCAAGGCGCCGGTGGAGGTGTCCAAGTGGAAGTACACGAAGACCACAGCCACCGGCACCGGACAATCTTGTGCCGGGCGACTGAAAATCGTCTCCAGCTTAATGACCTGACAGTGGCTTTGGCACCGCTTCGCTGCGCGCCAACGCGCGCGACCCGCGCCAACGAAGGCAGAACCGGTGCCGATCGGCAGAGTGGGCGTCGGTTTGATCACGTCGGAAAGAACTCGACATGTCGCCATTCTGCTGACTCACTGGTAGGTCCGTGCTCAGTCCCGAACATCGGCTTAAGAAAGATAAGAAAGGCGTGGCTGCCTGTGGCTTGCACACGCAAATCCACCGGACGCATGGCGCCGATCGGACACGCACGTCCGTGTGTTCAGGGTGCCATTTCTGGGACACCGGGGTGCTGAACGCGGTGCCCCAGAAACCTTCAACCTGGTCCTAAAACCTTCAGTGAACCATTTATGATGAACCTGTTTTGGTCTGCCCGTGAGGGTGACGCCCTGCCTTCTGCTCGAGCATTTGCACCGCCCGAGTGATGTGAGTATACCTCGCTCAAATCCGCTGGGAAAAAATGGGTCCCAACGATCTCTCCAACAGCATCTGACGACTCGGACGACTCGTCGACGACTCAGACGAGCTGGTCGGGTGCATCCGGTCGGCGGCCGAGCTTCCGAGGACGAAGTCTCGAGGCTTCGCAACGAATCGGTCGATCGTTGCCCCTTGAGGTGTCGCGGGTTCGGTTCCTTTTTACTTTACAAACAGTAAAAAGGTCTTGAACCTTCTGGTCATGGAGCTACTATAATGACTGTTTAAAGAAAAGAGCTTCTGAAGTCACACGTGTCCACTGGTGAGGTCGTTTCAGTGCGGCCAGATACTTGTTGCACTGCCACTTGGAAAGCTCATCCTCCACCTGCTGAATGGCCGCATCCACACGGACCCCGCCCACCACCGTGCTCCGGCTGAGCTCTTCCCGCATGGCGTCACAGGAGAGGAAGCACTGGTGAGTCAAATCGAAAGGATCAGTTCACACCGTCGGGTCAAAGGACTCTGTTGGTGGTGCACATGATCAGAAATGAAGAAAAACTCGAAGTTTTGACTGGTCTTGCTTCAACGGCAAATCTGGTGGCTTCCAAACCGAGACCAATTTGCACCTGCGCCACATTTGCAGCGGTCCATGAGCCAAGGAACGTCAAAAAGTTGGCAGACTGACCATCCGTCTTGCCGGGCGACATTTGGTCGCCGAACAGCACCAAAACACTCTGACGAACACAAAAAACATGGAAGTGGATGGCCCGGCCCCTGTTTCAGACCATGAGTTTTCCCGAAGACCAAACAGGTGGTGCCATCCATCCAGCCCATGTGATGCATTCGCCTGCCGAATGTGGAGCCGTGCGATCCCCCGAAGCCGAACCGCCCGGAGAAGTGTCGACCGAGTCTTCGAGAAGTGAATGATGTGGAACTCAAAGAAATGATTTTGAAGAGCCCTTCAAACGCATGCTAACCTGCTTGAAACATCACCTGCTTTCGATCCATGATCTGATGAATGCTTCTCTCCTTTGAGGGATGGCGTCTGGCTGTGGGCAGACTAGTCTCATTGCCTGTTTCAAAAAAAGAAACGCGCCGCGCGAAGCGAAGCTTCCAGGGATACTGAGATCACTTCTATTCATTTTTTTCTCCAACCGGTTCATCCTCACCCAACAGCAGCCCAACAGTCCAGCAGGTGTACCGGTTCCTCTGCCTGTTCTTTCTTCCGTATCTGCATCCCAGCTGTCCATCACAGTTCCCTGCCAGTTCCGAACAGGACGTTTCGTCAACAAAGGCCTCCAATTTGTAGCAAAACACCGGCGCAACACGCATATAGGCGCGTTAAAGCCGCTAGGACATTAGGGTATGGGTGTCTCAAGTCACCTACGTTTTCCTATGACACCTATCTGTTTTCGAATGACCCTATGGCCCTATGGCTTCGGATTGTGCAAAACTCCAGCGCGCTGCCTACTCCTTTCCAACAAGAGTCTCGGTTTTATGGTGCATTTCAGGTACGTGATTGGCCTGCGACAGGACCATTCCTTTGGATTCTTTCGCATTCGCATCGGATGATGGTGAGACCACCGATGGTGTGGGGCCCGAGGATTCCTCCCGGAATCCTAGGGAGTGTCTATGGATGTCAGGATGGTGTCAGGGGTGTCACCAGAAACGGTCCTGGTCTCGTTTTCGTCCCAGTTCTCTTTTGTCTCGGCACCATGCCACGCCACCATCACCTGCGCAGACAACGTCGTGGAACGAACACGACCGAACAGGTGAGTCTACTGTACTACAGCGGATCGCCCCGTGTTCTAAACGGCCTGAAGAAAACATGTTCATCCTTCGGAGACAACTGGATGTTACAGTCAATTCTTGAAGGCTTGACTCGTGCTTGCGTTTCCAGTGCTTTCGATGAGAGCACCCTTTCTGGTCGCTGCCAGCCAGGCGCCGAACCAAAAAAGAATTGTCTTTTCCTATCAAAACAAAGGTCCCTTCCTCAAACAGGACCAACCTTGTCAGGTTCCGTCGCCGGACTGCGCCAGCCGCAGCGAAGACTCCATGCCCTGAGAGGCACTCGGCAGTCGAGGCACTGCCAACATGGAGGCTGTTTGACCGGCGGTTTGACTCCGTCCAAAGGAGACTCTAATAGCCACCCTGGACCTCTTCTTTTTGGTGGCGGCCAATCTGAACTAGAGTATGCTGGAATCTCCGCATTTCATGCAAGAGATTCTCCTGTACAGCCGAGGAACACGGCGGCTACGGAGACGAACAAGCGAAGCCGAACACCATGCAGCCCGTGATGGCCCTGCACTCCATGCAAGGGCACACACTGTACGAGGAGCTTCTCTCCTCTCTGCAGCATGGACGGAAGACCAAAGCTTTCCAACCACACCTCTGTCGACTCCCAGTCGAGCCTTAGAAGGAAAAGATCTGGGCATCGTCATATCCCATGGCATGCAAGGCAGGCACACAAGCCTTCTCCAGCATCACGGGCGGCCCACACATCAAGCAGAGGCCTGTCTCGCTGGCTGGAAAAAGGGACGCTTTTGCCATTGTAGTGTTCACAAAGCCCACGTGCCCCTTCCACTCAGGCACGAAATTCTTAGCTGCTGATGGGCTCACATTCTTCTCCGCAGAGGGAGCTTTGTCAACAGTAAGGCTCAGCATGAAGCGCTCCGGATTCTCTGCAGCCAAGCCTTCAAGGATGTCTCGGGCAAGGATGTCATCAG